TTTAAAGGTGCTTGTTTTAAATGAAATTATATAAGTAATCACATCTTTTATGACATTGATTAGAATTTATTTCCTACTTGTGAAGAGACTGAAACTGTTACAATCTATGACTTGGCCAAGGTCAACAACTAGCAAGAGGCACAGGCTGGGTTCATTCGCAGAATTATCTTTCTCAAAGCCAACACTTCCACTTGAGTACAATTATCTCCTTAAAAGATTAAGAGACAGCTCAACAACCAAAAGGGACTCTCGTATCTCCGAATGTTCACTGGTTATTCTAAGAGATATATCACTACACTACCTACAATTCGGTCACTTAAACATTAGAATATTTCTGATTCGTTTAAACCATAGCAGGTTTGCCGGCAGGTGAGAAAAAGGTTTTGGAAAAGGCTTGCCTCAACATGTCTCATCTAGACCTCTATATATGGATTTCCTAGTTGTTTTTTTTTTTTTTTTTTTTTTTTAAGCATGTACAAAGCTACATTTGAATATAGTCAGATGCAAAGTGCAATATACCAGATGCATATCGGTCTGGGAGACTGCTAGAGTATGCCATTCTGGCACTCCACAAACACCCGAAATACCATCCAGGGGCAGCGAACCCAGTTGCACGCTCTTCTTTTACGATGTGATGCGTGCCCACTTGGGGGACACCGCTCCTGTGGAGCGCCCCGGCGAGGGAGCAATAAAGGAAGGAGCGGGGGAAGCGCACGGAAGTTGGGTGGAAGGAGGTCTCATTACCCACTCTGCTGCCCTAGCTCTGCCAAGGGCGGCTCCACGGTGCCCAGCAGACACGAAACCCCTGCAAGCTCTCCAAGCCCGGCTGTCCCGGCGGAGAGGGTCCGCGGCGCGGACAGCGTGAAGCACGCGATGACCGCAGCCTCCTGCCCATACCCTGATTTCGGCCCCGGATGGTTCTCCCCCACCCTCTTCGGAGCGGGGACTCCAGGTGGGAAACTCCTGCTCTGCATTGGCCGAAGTCTGCGCCTCAGAAAGGGCGCCTCGACGACGGGTCCAACCCGCCACCCGCCCCTCTCCGTTCGCGGGGACATGTCCCTCCGTCCCACCCCCGCAACCCTCCAGACAGGCCCGCGCCCCACCCGGGATCCCGCCGTCCAATGCCCCGCCCAGCGAAGGGCCCCCAAAGGACCCCCTCTCACACACACACACACACCACACACACACACACACACACACACACACACACACACACACACACACACACACACACACACACATCTCCTCGCTCCAGCCTCCCAGACCCCGTCGAAGCCAGAACACCTACCTGTCTCGGCCGTGCTCCTGGGCTCCCAGGGGGCGGAGGCGGTCCCCTCCCCGAGACCGCGAGTGCTTCCCTCGGCCACCCCTTCAGCGGCGGCTTCGCTTTCCCAGGAGCGGGAGGGAGACGAGGAGGCGGAGGGGAGGGGGAAGAAGAGGAGCTGAGGGGCGGCCGGAGCCGAACCGGAAGTACTAGTGCTGGCCCCGCCCATCTCCCGGAGCTGCGGCGCATTCCGCCCCTCTCCTGATAAGACAAACCCCCATCAGTCACTGTGAAATCTAGATCACCACTTCCGGGTCGTCCGAGCTGCGGCTCCGCCTTAGCAACAGCGTGGGGTTGCTAAGCGGAAGTGCCTCTCGATACCCGCCCCCGTTTCTTCGGGGGCTGTTGGGAGGTAGGTTGGGAACTTGGTGTTCTCCCTTGGAAGCACCCTTAGACCTTTAGTTTACTACGTTAGGCCGAGGAAGCGCTTCGCTGCCGGCCCTGTAGCTGGGCCCCTCAGCTATTCTCCGATGCCAGCGCCAAACTACACACGCTTCGCCCCTTTCGAGTCCTAGGCCAACCCGGCGGCTCCTCCCGAAGCTCCTCTCTGTACCTTGCGGGAGTTTCTTTCTCGCTGTCTAGCAAGCATCTCCCTTTGGTGGATTTCCTGTCGTTTCAACCAGACTTTTGCATGCATTTCGTTCTGAAACGGCCCCAGAAGTCAAATAGTGAAGTGAGTAAGAAAAGTTTTGTTTCAGCTTGTCTTTTTTTTTTTTTTTCTAAAGGATTTAGCGTATTTATGTGTGTCCTGGAAATAACCTAGCTGTATCGACGTGGGGAGGGATGTTTAGGCAAATGACCAGAGTAATTTTTTTTTTCTTTTACTCTTTTAAGACAACGAAACAAAGAATGCCGGTAATCAAGCTTGAGTAGGAAAACAGCTAATTCTCCATTCAGAATAAACCATCACACCTATACGGTGAACAAGAAAGGTGTTCGTTAAAAAAATGTCGTTTAAGCTAGGGGTGTAGCTGTATGGTACCGCGCTTGCCTGACAAGCGCAATATCCCTGCACCGAAGAAAGGAAGTGGGGGAGCGGGAAACAAAGGCCTCATTTAAATTGGACATGGTAAGCAGGCCTGTAATGTTTGGACTCCAGAGGAAGAGAGGAGGATAGGGAGTACAAGGCCTAGGCTGCAATGGTGAGTTCCAGTTTTAAAAGATTTTACCTAACCTGCCCCAGGCACTAGGTTCAGTCTTACCTTTGAAAAAAACTGGAAAACTATGGCGGGAACCAAAGCCAATAAAATAGTCCTCTTTATGTAATGACCCCTATAATTACTGTAATTACATATGGAAAAAAATCTGAGTAAAAAAAAAAATAAAATAATCACGTGACTTTATTATTATTGTTAATTATTGTTATTGAGTCAGACTCTCACTCTGAAGCCCAGGCTGACCTGGAACTAAGTAGACCAGGCTGGCCTTGAACTCAGAGATCTACCTGCCTCTGCCTCTTGAGTGCTGGGATTTAAAGCTTGCACCACTGGGATGGACTGGCTTTTCTATCTTAACTTCTGAATTTTTCTCTTCTGCACCAGTGAAAACATTTACAACTACAGGTCCTAATTTTATTGGTCGCAAAATTATTTGTAGACTGTTGTTCTCTTCAGATAAGACAGAAAACTAATTTTGCTAATTTAAAAGAAACACTGGGCCTATTCATTTCCTGGGCTCATGGCAATTAAATTGATTCATCCTAGGTAGTCAATTGAACAAAGCTTTTAGGAAACAATCTTTGGCACAAATAGGCCAGTAGTAGGTTGTTTAAAAAGTCTAAAATATTTCCACCCTGCCATCATCGTGTCTACACATGGAAATACACACAAACACACAGTGATGATAAATGTGTTACCATAGTTTAGTATTTCAACTGCTAACAGCTTGTGGTGTATCTAAAGAACTATAATATGTCTATGGTATTAAAAAAGATGGGGCCTATAGAATTTTTTGTCTCATTAAATGGAAATTGAGTAATAATCAACCATGAGCTTAAGCTAACACAGAAATGCACATCCCTCTGCGTAACTCATTTTATCCACTGCCTAAGTGGTTTATAAGCAGCATTTAGCTCCTTCCATAGACCTTTTTTAAAATTCACTTTTCTATTAGTATATGAAAATCTGGCTTAAGTCCTAAATGATCATATGAGCTTTTGTAATTCATTGCTTAGAGACTTTGAAAGATGAGTTGCAGAGTCCTAATGTTAAAACTACATGTGTGAGCTTAACATTTTTAGAGTTTTGTAAATAATATTACAGGACTCGGTATTCTTTTTCTTATGTTTATTTGTGTGTGAGTGAGTTGGTGCCAGCATACCACTGTGAACGTGGAGGTCAGAGAATTTGTTGAAGAAGTCCCTTCTTAACCATGTCGATCCCGGAGATTGAGCTCAGGGTTTCAGGCTTGGCATTGGCAGCGGTTGCTCTTCCCTTTGAATCACTTTGCTAGCACAGGAATCTATACTCGAACTGTAACACAGTACTATATACAGAGGCTGTATTGCAGATAGTCTTCATAAGCCAGACAGTACCTTCATCATGTATGACTAATATGGGACTTTCAAGCTCCCAACAATGTCTTTTTAAATTCATTTTTTAAATTTTATTTTCTTTGTAATAATGTAAAAAATTATGCTGGGCATGGTGCCTGTAATTCAGCACTTCAGAAACTAAGTTAGGAAGATTGACATGAATTCTAACCCAGCCTGGACTAAACAACAAAAAGAGCACATTTGATGCTTTTTGGGGGGAAACTCAATACTCTAGAGTAATTAGTTCTGAAACATTGAGTACTAGGTATGCTAACACACACCTGTAATCTCAGCAGCACTTGTAAGACAGATGAGGGGATCACGTTCAAGGCCAATCTGAGTTACACACAATAAAATACGTACTGCTAGAGTTTATCTGGTTTCTCTAAGCATAAAAAAAGTAAGAAAACTAGAAATGCATAGTTCATTGATGAATACCCTGGTTTAAGAAGAAATTTAGCCAAGTTAACCATTTTTGTGACTAAGCAATAAACCATTGAAAAGATATAACCCTTTATACAAGTGATTCAAAGAAACTCAGGATATATAACAAAAAATAAAATGTTAAACCTGAGCCTGGTGGTGGTGGTGCACGCTTTTGATCCCAGCACTCGGGAGGCAGAGGCAGGTAGGTCTCTCTGAGTTTGAGGCCAGCCTGATCTACAGTAAGTTCCATGGTATCCAGGGCTTTTTCTTTTTTTCTCTGGGGGAATAAAAGGAAAAAAATATATATATACAAAAAAATAATATGATACTGAATTCAATGTGTACCCTACAAAAATTCCTGTTTTTAATGTGTCCATGGAATTTTTGTTCCTAACTGTGTTAGTATTTTATCTCTTTGGTTATCAGATTTTTAAGAAAAATGGTCTTTAGGCTTTTCTTAGGTTTTTGTTGTTGTTGTTGTTATTTGTATGTTTTTGTTTTCTTTTTTAGAGACATGGCTTTTCTGTGTAGCCCTGGCTGTCCTGGAATGCCCTTGATATCCAGGGACTCAGGGAATGCCCACCTCTGCCTCCTGAGTGCTAGGATCAAAGGTATGCATCACCATACTTGGCTGACTTTTTTTAAAAAGATACACAACTAACTTTCAACATCTTATCTTTGTCCCCCACCCATGCTGATAAATGACAAGAGATAAGATTTAATTAATACTGAATTTTTTAATGTGAAAAAGACTAAGTCAGCTTTTTAAAGCAAACAAGCCATTACAGTACGTCACTATTTCTATAATCAATGCCCATAAAATGGCATCAGTACAAAGATCCAAGCAAATCTCAGACAGTAGATTAGTAATTACAGCATCTTGTAATAGATTTTAGGAAGAAGCTTAACAGGTAAAATAAACAGCATATGACATAAATTCACGTATGTAATTAGAATTTACAGATTATAAAAATTCTCCAATTTCATAGCCAATTGCTTTTGAATGGCCAAATTTTAGCCTTGTTTTTTAATTTAAATGCCTATTCAGCAAACCAATTAAACAAACCCATCTATCCAAATTTACATCCTAGAATACGTAAGTAAACTGAAGACATTATTCAGATGAGTAAGTTCTATTCATTTTCATCATCTGTGTGATCAGGTTGCAAAGGACATGCTCTGTGAAAAGAAGAGAACTACACATCACTCAAGGGTCCGCTGTTGTAAAATCAGAACATTAATAATGCGGTAGGTCTGCACAACTAGAAATGAGAAAAAATTAAATTCCACTAGGTACCAAGCGTAAACAAATTCCAAGAACTAGTGCAACAAAACTTTTTACATTATTCTCCGTGGTTTCATGGAATCATCATTTCTCGTTCTGAGTTTTATTTAAAGAAGTATCTTAGCCAAGCATGGCAGTGTATGCCTTTAATCCCAGCACCTAGAGGAAGCTCGCAATAGGACTGCCAAAAATAAGGCTACTCTGGTCTATATACCAAGTAGCCCAGCCAGAACTATGTGGTAAGATTCTGTCTCAACAAAACAAGAAACAAACTGGAGAGATGGCTCATCCATTCTTGAAAAGGTGTTTAGTTCACAGCACACACATAAGGCAGCTCACAACTTCCTATAACTCCAGCCCCGGGGGATTCAATACCTTCTTTAAAAAATAAAAATGCATATCTTGGCCTATAACTCTAGCATTGGGAGGCTGAGACATGGAGATTGCTGTAAATCCTGAGTCTTCCTTGGATTGCATACTAAGTTGTGGAACAGCTTGTACTACATAAGAAAGATTCTACAAATAAATGAAGACATGATAGGTGGAGAGATGGCTAACTGGTTAAGAACACTTGCTGCTCTTGCAGTACCGAAGTCTAGTTTCCTGCACCCATGTTGGACAGCTCATATGGCCTGTAACTTCAGTTCCAAGGGATCCAGTTCTGTCTTGTGGCCTCCCCAGGCACATGTACTCATCACGCATAAACCCATAAACATAACTAAAAATAAAATATTATTTCTATTTCTTTAAAATAGAAATAACAGGGCTAGAGAGATGACTCAGAGGTTAAGAGCACTGGCTGTTCCTCCAAAGGTCCTGAGTTCAATTCCCAGCCACCACATGGTGGCTTACAACCCTCAGTATAATGAGATCTGGTGCCTTCTTCTGGCCTGCAGACATAAACGTGGGCAGGGCCGAACACTATACATTAAAAAATAAAAAATAAATCAAATATATACATTTAAAATTTACTATGTATTAATTTTTTTAAATATATATTTTATTTATTATGTATACAATGTTCTATCTGCATATACACTTGCACACCAGAAGAAGACACTATATCTTATTATAGATGGTTGTGAGGCACCGTGTGATTGCTGGGAATTGAACTCATGATCTCTGGAAGAGCAGGCAGTGCTCTTAACCTCTGAGCCATCTCTCCAGCCCCTATGTATTAATTTTAATGTTAGGTCAATTGATAAATAAAATATAACCTATTGTGAAAGTCCATTTGAGTAAACAATATAAATATATGCAAGCAAATTGCCATATCCCTTGGACTACATGGATGTGGTTTTTTTGTTTGTTTTTTTGAGTCAGGGTTTCTCTGTGTACCCTTGGCTGTCCTGGACTCACTTTGTAGACCAGGCTGGCCTTGAACTCACAGAGATCCACCTGCCTCTGCCTCCTCAAGTGCTAGGGATACAGGCGTGTTCCACTGCGCCTGGCTCATGGATTTATTCTTTAAAAATAACACCAAAATTATTTGGTAGACTATGATAATCACAGCATTTGAATGAAGGTACATTTATATTGATACAAAGCCATTCTGTACTTACCATCTTTTTTTTGTAGTAAGTCAATTAAAAACAAGCATAAACCATTATTTTAGAGCTAATAAAACTTAGTGGTATCTACTCTAAAATCCTTAGTTTCCAATGAGATCCAATGCTCCTGAATGCTCACAGAGCATACAAAAGAAAGAATAACAAAGAGCTCAGCCCAGGATTAGATTACCACTGCTTCACACACTAAAAGACTATGCAAAATCTTCATTGTATTTTCCTGGAAACTAGGACAAGTTACAAACCATAACCCAAACTCCCTTTTTACAAGGGTCTGATTGTCTTTAGATATAAGTTATGTTCAAGAGTTGTGTAAATGGGGCTGAAGAGACTTCTTAGTAGGTAAAATGCTTGAAATGTAACCATGAAGACCTGAGTCCCCTTCACAGCCGGGCATGGTTTTTGGTTCTTTGAGACAGGGTTTCTCTGTAGAGCTTTGGTTGTCCCTGACTCGCTTTGTAGACCAGGCTGGCCTTGAATGCAGAGATTTGCCTGTCTCTGCCTCCTGGCTTTAAAATTATGTTTTAATAGAATCTTTAAAAGAGAAATTGGTATTTCTAAGAAAATGGATGAAACTAGAGACCATCATGTTAAGTGCAATAACCAAGACTCTGAAAGACAAATATTGAAGGTTTTCTTTCATACACAGATTGAAATTTAAGTTCATATATACTTGCCCATCTATATGTATGTGTAGAAAGAACACCAAGAAAAAGACACAGGGTGAGGGCAGAAGAAAGAATGAGATGGTCATAGAGGCATGGTGACGTTAAGAAGGAAGAGGAAGACAGGGTGAGGGGAGAGGAAAGAGTGAGACGGTCATAGAGGCATGACGAAATTAAGGAGGGAAGAGGAAGGGGATGTGCAAGAAGGGGAAGGCAGTGCAGAGAGACAAATAAGAATGAAACATAATGGATATGTGGAAATGAAATAAAGCCAGCATTGTGACGCACACCTTTAATCCCAGCACTCGGGGGGGCAGAGGCAGGCAGATCACTGAGATTGAGGCCAGCCTGGTCTATAGAGCAAGTCCAGGACAACCAAGGCTACACAGAGAAACTCTGCCTCGAAAAATAAACACACACACACAAAAGAAAACAAGGGACATTGGGATGACTTGGTGGGTAAAGGCTCTTGGCACCAACAACCCAAGTTTGATCTCTGAATCCAATGGTGGAAGAAAAGAACTTACTCTTAGAAAATTTTCTCTGTCCTCCAGTTACAGTGTGGCACAAGCACACAAACACACACACACACATACAAAATACGACTTTTAGAAAATGACTAAATAGGGGGAAACATTTATGTGTATAGTTTTACATACAAAAGGAGCTTGCCCTGCCTTGGGGCCAAAACAAGACTATAAGGAATAACCATGGCAAAATAGGAATTTAGAAGTTCATATTCCTTCTGATATGTTAATTTACTGTTTCAATAAAGGGACAATCACAGTTTTCCTAAATAAAGGCAAGTCTAAGAAAGAGGCCTGAAAATAGTATAAACCTCTAAAATCTGGGGGTTTTTTGAGTTTTGTTTGGTTGCTCTGAGAGTTTCTGTTTGAGTGTTCTTCCTAGGGAACTGAACCCAGGGACATACACTAAATAGTTACTCTACCACGGAGCTACATCCCTTTGTTCTCGTTCTTTGAAATGGTGTCACTATGTACTCCAGGCTGGCTTCCAACTCATGATTTCCCTGTCTCAATGTCTGTACTTAAAGGCATGTGTCACCATGTCTAGCTATTACTGATTTATTATACTATGGATTAAATTTGTTTATGAGACTATATAATTTATCTCCACGTGATGGAAGATCTTTAGTTTTGATTTATTTATGTATTTATTTATAGGCAGGGTCTCAGGTAGCCCAGACTCATCTGTGTAGCTTTTATGTATTTATGACAAGTTATGAGCTGTAGAGATGGTTTGTTGGCCAAGAAGACACAGATCAGTTCTTAGCTCCTACATCAGGTGCTCACGATCACCTGTAATTCCAGTTCCAATGAATCTATGCTCTCTGGTCTCTACAAGTACCTGTACATATGTGGTACACTTAAACTAATGCAGGCACACACATATGCATAACTAAAAATAAAGCTTCTAACAAAGAATTACCAGTTTAGCATGCTGTAAAATCCCCATCAAATGTATGATCCTTTTGCAATATTAAGATTTTGAGCCCAGGGCCTAGAGAGATGGCTCAGAGGTTAAGAGACTGGCTGTTCTTCCAAAGGTCCTGAGTTCAATTCCCAACAACCATATGGTGGCTCATAACCATCTATGAAGCTGTCTGGTGCCCCTTTCTGGTATATAGGTACACATGCAGGCAAAATACTATATAATAAATAAATAAATAAATCTTAAAAAAAAGTGAACCCAGGCTAGACAGTGGTGGCCCATGCCTTTAGTCCCAGCACTTGGTAAGCAGGCAGAGGCAGGTAGATCTCTGTGAATTCTGATCTACAGAGCACATTCTAGGATAGCCAGAGCTCCACAGAAAAACTCTCTTGAAAACAAACAAACGAAAAAACAAACAAAAACAAAACATGTTGAACCCAGGCCCTTGTACTGGCAAGCCTTCTGTCACAGAGGTACATCTCCAGGCCCAGTGCATAGCTATAACCTCATCATTAAGAAGGCTAAGACCAGATAGAGTACAAGGCTCCTAGCTACATAGTGAGTTTGAAGCAAGTCTGGGTTACCAGATGGAGGGGGATTCCTCATGAACATGATTCAACCCCATCCTTGCCCCAATGTCCATTACAGAAAGCTAAAGGCAGCCAGTTATGGTGGTTCACCCTTCTAATGCTAAAACCAGAGAGGCAGAGTGGTTAAGAGGGCCACCACTTGCTCAGGGCCAGCCTGGGCTGCAGAGTAAAACCATCTCAAAAAAAAAAAAAAGCAAGAAAAAAAGAGAACTGAGAAGTGGTGGCACATACCTTGAATCCAAGCACTTGGGAGGTAGAGGCAAAAGGGTTTCTGAGATCTGAGTTGAGGCCAACCTGGTCTACAGAGGAAGTTTCAGGACAGCCAGGGCTACAGAGAGAAACCGTGTCTCAAAAATAAAAGCAAAAGAAACAGAGAAATGAAACAGAAAAAGGAAGAAAAGAGCTATAAACGACTATAGATGGCACAGTGGTGGAAGAGCTTGCCTAATGCTGACAAGTCAGTCCCTAGCACAAAATGGCAGAGAATATTCACAGTGGTACCTGCTACTTCCTTCCAAAGTGCCTATAAAACCGGAAATCTTCATATTTCCTATCTACTTTACAGGGCTTTTGGTTTAATGAGCCATAAAGAACACTGAATCCCTATTCCACACTGGATACTTTTTCTCTAGATCAAGATGAAATTATTTTCAAGGTAGACTTTTAATGGTCCATATTTCATTAACCACATTTAATGAAATCATTAACCAATGTCTAGTGTTGTCTCTTTGTTGTTGTTTGTGAAACTCCAGTAGATTTAAGATTAGTATTCACCATCTAACTCTTAAGATGATCTTCAAGGTAGTCCAGTTTGAGCTTAAGACTTTCTGAGTTAATAAAACCGCCGGGCTGAATAGATGTGAAGACTTGTCTTTGCCTTCCTTGTGACACTGGACTGGCAGGTGGCATTCAGTCCAATATTAGAATGTGGTCTGCTCTAAGTTTCTTAGTGGAGAAGACAGAGAAAGATAAGCAAGAGCCCAAGGAGACTGTTCATAGTTTGTAGGGAGCTGGGAGAATTCGAGGGTTTGGGGGGATCAGTTTCATAGTACGTAGGGCCCGATGTGCTGGTTAAAGGGACGAATGACTCCACCTGCTTTTGGAGGACCAGGGCAAGGAGCAACAGCCACAAAAAGAGTCTGAACGCCATCCTCTTAATCCTGGAGGTCGTGGTATTAAGTGTCCAGCTTGCTGCTTGTTGAGCTGGAAGTTCGTTCTCTAAGCTTTTGGCTAGTGTGGAGATTACAAACCAGGGCTTACTTTCATGAAGACATCACAATGACAGTGTCATGGTGCCACACCCTCTCTTTCCAGGTACTTTTTTTGTTTTTGAAGCAGGATCTTCAAGTAATTGAGGCTGGCCTCAATCTCACAAATACTTTCTTTTAGAATTAAAACATTATTTTAAAAAGGTAATAGTGTGCGGGAGAGATGGTTCAGAGGTTAAGAACACTGACTGCTCTTCCAAAGTTCCTGAGTTCAATTCCCAGCAACCACATGGTGGCTCATAACCATCTATAATGAGATCTGGTGCCCTCTTCTGGTGTGTAGACATACATGCAGACAGAATACTGTATACATAATAAATAAATGGGGTGGGGGGAAATAGTGTGTAAGAAGTGATGGTGTGCAGTTTAAATCCCAGCATTCAGGAAGCAAAGGCAAGTAGATCTCTGTGAATTCTAAGCCAGCTGGGGCTACATAGTGAGTTCCAGGCCAACCAGTCTGCATAGTGAGACCCTGTCACAAAAACAGAACAAAAAGAAAATGTGGGAGGCAATGAAGTGATTCGTCTGGTAAAAGTGTTTCAATCTGAAGAGCCGAGTTCCATCCCTGAATCCCATGTAGAGGGTAGAAGTGGAAAGAGAACTGACTCCTGAAAGTTGTCCTCTGACCTCCCACACACCCTCCATGTCAATGTGCCTTGGTTTTGATACTTAAAATCTAAAAGAATTCCAATATTTTCCACTTTATCCTAGGTACACAGTCATGAAGCTACGGCTTCAAATATACTAAGTGTTCTTCCACTGAGCTATATCCCAGGCTTTGTGATTCTTTTTTTTTAACTTTTAATTTTGTTCTATTAATTAATTGACTTATGTATTATATTGTGTTCTGCCCGCATGTACACCCCCTCGCCAGAAAAGGGCAAAAGGTGTCATCTTAGATGGCTGTGAGTCATCATGTGCTGGGAATTGAACTCAGAACCTTTGGAAGAACAACAGCCAGTGCCCTTAACCTCTGAGCCATCTCTCCTGTGCTGTGATTATTTTTGGGTTGTTGAGACAGGGTTTCTCTGTATAGCCCTGGCTGTCCTAGAACTTGCTCTGTAAATCAGGCTGGCCTCAAACTCACAGAAATCCACCTGCTTCTATCTCCTGAGTGCTGGGATTAAAGGCATTTGACACCATGCCCTTTTTGTGTGTGTGATTCTTACTAAAGTAATTGATTTGGATTGTTAGAAGTTGTATTATGAGACAAGGTTTTTACCCGTATAAATAATTATTGGTGCTTGTTATATTTTCGGACAGTGTGTGTGGTGTAAAGCAGATCGTACTTTTTCATTTTTAAAAGTTTTTTTTCTGTCTACTTATTTTTATGGGTACATGTGTGTTTGTGCCCAGCTGTATTTTTGTACATGACATGCAGCAGGAACCCAGGTAGGTTAGAAGAAGCATCAGATTCCCTGGAAAACTAGAGTTATAGACAGTTGTGAGCTGCCATGTGGGTGCTGGGAACCAAACCTGAATCCTCTGCAAGAGCTGTGCACACTCTTAAAGGCCAAGCCATCTCTCTAGCCCCAAATATACTTTAATACTCAGAATTTTAGCATTCTCATTTCATTCATGGCAGCTTAAAAACAAGCTGCCATGAAAGCACTTTTAACCCCAGCACTGGAAAGGCAGATGGGTCCCTGTGAGTGTGAGGCCAGCCTTGACTACATAAATGAATTCCAGGATGACCAGAGCTACAGAATACAGGCCCTGTCTCAAAAACCAGTAATAATTTTAAAAACTCTAGCCCCAGTTTGAAGAATTCATAAGGATTTATAGAGAAAATATTAAAAAACATACAGAATTACTATGAATAGTTTCTATAGAGAGTAATTTCTGCTTAGTTTCTCTAATTATACATTTCTTATGAAAGTTAAACACATATTATTATTACTTTTTTTGAACTGGAGACTAAACCTAGCACCACATGCATGCTGAGTAATGGACTTACACTGAGCTACCCCCTCAGTTCCTAACTAGTCATTCTGTGGAGAATAAGGAGCCTAATGGAATTTAAACTGTAAGAACTGACATAGAAAATTTGGGGGGGGGGGAAACAGAAAAAAGAACACAAACAAAAGTAGGGAAGAGAGGGCAGGAGAAGGCAGGCAGATTATAAAGTATGGTAGCTCATCTTCTCATCATAGCACTTAACAGACTGAGGTAGAAGGATTACAGAAAGTTCAAGTCGACCCTGGGTTACATAGAGACGTCTCAAAAAAACAAAACAGAACCCCCTGAAAATTAGAGGAATAATAAATGAATAGGAATCTGGTTTCTTTAGAGCAAGTAAAAATTAATAATTCCTGAAAGATATTTGAAATTTTAGAATGACATAAGAAAATATTAGAAGGGCTAGAGAAATGGCTCAGTGGTTAAGAGCACTGGCAGCTCTTCCAGAAGATTTGAGTTCAATTCCCAACAACCTTATGGTGGTTCACACCATCTATACTGGGGACTGATGCCCTCTTCTGGCGTGCAGGTGTACGTGCAGATAGAGCACTCATACATTAAAAAGAAAGAAAGAAAGAAAGAAAGAAAGAAAGAAAGAAAGAAAGAAA